AATACTCATCCGGCATCGCGTAGGATTTAACTGGGCAGTCCCTTTCATTGCATGTTACAGGAGGAATGTGAGCCAGTTGAGAAATGCATGTAACATTGCAGGGCAAAAAGTCTGGGTTGTTCCCTCTGGTTCCTCAGTATTGACTTTCTGGGAGCATAATATACTTTCTGACTCTTGCCTTGGGATAATCAGACAACAAAAACAAATTGTATCATCACTTTTCTTCTGTTTCCTCTCTAACATCAGAGGAGGTTGTGATACACATTGAGGTAAGAAGATTCAAGATTTTCATGTATCAGATGAGACAGACATTCTGCCTGTTGCCTTAATCTCAGACCTTTAGTTACTCTCCTTTATTCTCACCTAATTTAGTTTCTTTAACATTTAGTCTCTATATTATCCCACTGGAGTTTTTGCATCATGTGAAAAACAGGTGTTGTATCAGTGGGGTTTAAACAACGACCTTCATCATGGCATGGGTGTTTTAAACTAACATACCACTGACTTACTGGTAATCAGAGCACAAGATGGTCAACATGTTCTTCCTTGTTACTGTGACCAGCCTTTTGAGCAGATAGCGGTTGTAATACAGCTTCTGGGGAGTGAGCACCATAAAAGGGCCATGACACTGTCTGCAGTTGTCATATATGTCTGTCTGGTAATCGATAGATCAGATTTGGATGCTCACTCAGTACAGGAACAAATCACCTGGTAGCAAACTTAAGAATGTGTAAGAAGCAAAGTTGATAGCTTACACCAGGCTGATTTCAAAAACAAGGGGGAAATCCCTCCCTTTTCTAATGCAAAAGAAGGTGGGAAATGGATCAGGCAGGTTGACTTTTGGAAGTTGTAGATTCCTGCTCATCTTAGGAGCAGCCTTTTCCAGCAAGTCAACAGAAGCAAAAAGGTCAGGACAGTACAGGGAGGTTGAAACAGAGAGGAAGTGTTCTGATTGTTCCCCTGCACTGCTGTGGTGCATCTGTCACCAGGGTATATTGGTGCAGCTTTTTTGCAGGGGAAGTCTGTCAGTACAGAACTGGCAAATGCAGCACACACTCCAGAGGCAACAGGGGTGATTTAGGTTAGATAATAAGGAAGAAATTCTTTACTGTGAGAGCACTGCCCAGTATTGCCAACAGGCTGCCCAAGGAAGTTGTGGCTGCCCCATCACTGGCAGTGTTCAAGGTCACATTGGATTAGGCCTTGAGCAGCCTGGTCTAGTGAGAGGTGTTCCTGTCCATTTCATGGGGGTTCGTCCTTTCCAGCCCAAACTATTCTATGATTCTACACATGGGTACAGTCATGTTGGTGGTGTTTGTTACTGGTTATACCATGCCTAACAACCTCTCACTGAATTGTTTCCCAATTACCATTTATAACTCTGAGTCAAAGGAGTTTCTACTCTGTGACTGGGATGTTTCAAAGCTGCTTGAACATCCTTGGGACATAATAGGGAGCTCTGGGGTTTTGAATACCAAGTTATTTTCTTATACAGCAGCACTGGGACTCAGCCTATGAATGAACCAGGGCTGCAAGTTCACTCATCCAGAAATTCTTTCAGCAAGTAGCAGATAGCTCAAAAATTTTAGTGTCATCTTTGTATTTCTTCAAATAGTCAGAAAATCGTTTTTATTCTTGGATATTTTGAATGTTAAATGAGGGCTTAGAGGGGAAGAAGGCAAAGGCTACTGTGGTTGAGCTGAAGAACAGAGAGAACAGACTCCTTAGCAAGTTCAGGATCTAAATGTAAGCTGCTCCATTCCCAAGAGCCATTCATAATGATTATATTCTGTAGCTGATTTATTTATAACTGTAGCAGTTGCAGTGGGAACAAAACATTAGGCCAAATTTTGACCTCAGAGTATAAATTGAGAATCATTTAACTTTTTTTTTTTCTTTTTTTTAATGGCATTACTTTGAATTCATCCTGCTGTAACTGAGATCAGGATCTGTTCTGTTGTATTAGGGTTTTTTTTTCTCTGACACCAGATTTCTATCTTTTCTGTTTGTTTGTTTGTTTTGTTTAATTTTGAACACAAAGAGCAGCAGAGTGTATGTTTAAACTAGCGCTGCAGCAGCCTTCATATGCTAATCCATACCTTGAGGATGACCAGGCTTTGAGCCCCCTCTGCACTCCAGGGGCAGGCTGGCTGGCAGGCTCTCCAAGGCTCTAGAGCCTGTCACACTGCACCACTACCAATTGCTTTCAGTGGCACAACGAGGCACTTTTTAACTATTTATGACAGACACTGTGTCAGTTTGCAAACCAGTTTTGCAGGAAAGGTAGAGAAGTCAGAGAGTCATTACGGATTCTGCTGTACCTAGTTAATAATACTGTGATAGCAGCAGTGTTCCACTGTTTATTTAAGAGTAAATGAAACAGTGATAGCTTTGAAAACTTGGGGAAGGTCCACGGTGGCAAGTGAAACTACACAGCCTGTCTGAAAACATAATGCATGTGAGGGGCAGTGGGGACACTGCAAGTTAATTATGTACCCTAAGCTGCTCTGCACCAGCTTTTTTTTTTTTCCTGTGTGTTATTTACATCTCCTCAGATGGACTGCGTAACACATCTAAAAAGCTGTCAGATGAAAGCCCTCACATGCAGCAGAAACAAAGCTCTATGGCCTTTGCACTTACTGCCTGTAACTGTTAAGTAGGAACATGGGCTGCAGAGAAGCTAAAAGGATTCTTCAGCTTGGCTTATTCAGCATGTTTTAGTCAGTTAATACAGAAGCATGAGTTTCTTCATTACAGTAACATTCTTTAGTCATAATCAGGTCAGCTGTGGAAGATGAAAGTAATTTTTCTTCATTTTGGGACATAGACAAACCTGTTCTGGATCAGAACACACAGCGCCTTAAAGAATTTTTATGTCTGTTCAATGAACCAGTTTGCAGTGACAAATGCTAGCTATTCCCCTTTATTAAGGCCTAATATTTTAAAATTCTGGTTTGGGTAGCTTTTACAAAAATGTAAAGCAGGCTGCTGCTGTAATCATTCCTGAATTTAGCCATGCTCTTGTAGCAGAAATGTGACCCCCCTAGTTAATAAACAACTAACTAGGGGTTCTGTTATGTTTTCTGATAGATCGTATTTATTTTACCCTTGGAAATAACAACAGTCATTTATTATAACCCAGGTGTTCAGCTAATTGAGCAGCTTTTTGATTCAAGTATTGACAAGACAGCTGTACATATTGTCATTTCCGTAGTTTAGCGATGTCTGAGTTCATGCTTGAGTATTCAGGCCTCCTCCTCTGGGACCTTTGATATTAGCTCTAGGATTAAGATGAATGGATGTGACAACAGAAAGCAAACATTTCTTAAGGAAATAAAGGGCTTGTGTTTTGATAGATGCGACCATTTCTCTGGTTCCTGGTTAATACATAAAGAATAAGAAGAGCTGCGCTGCATCTCTAAAACTGCTTGAAATTACTTCAAAAGGATTTGCCTCTGATGGACCCAGTACAGGCCAAAAAAACCCGAAGGCACTTTACCACATTATCTGCACCTCAGCAGTGGCAAATCTAGAGGCAGTTAGGGATACACTGAGCAGGATACTTCTGCATGCTAATGTGCCATGTTACTTCCATGGTAAACAACACAGCAGTGCTCACATCTGCAGTGCATATACCCTGGTACCTCCTTGGCTAAGGAGTCAAAAATAAGGTGCATGTTTCTGTTGATGCGACCCAGACTGACACAGCCACAGCTGATAATATATGTGATCTATAATCAAAAATCTGCTTTCAGTATGGAAATTGTCACTGTATGTCTTCATGTCCCCCTCAGTGCAACTGGGCAATTTGTCCATTATCTCACATTCTTATGAGTCCTGAGCAGTATTTAATTTAACGATACTAAAATTTGAAAACCAGAAAGCTTGCAACGGTATTAAATCTACTATCTCCAGCTTCTTTCAGCAAATAATAGATGTAATTTTGTATGGAAAAATATAAGGTGGGAAATACTGTCATTTGAAAATAGAGGTTTATTTGTCTTCTGCTTCTTCATGTATTACATATTTTTGTTGTTGAGCATGAGTTGGGCTTTTAGAGAGTATGGGACTGGCTAGCTGTGATGTTTGTTTTTTGTTTTAAAAGAAACAATAACTTAGAGTTAGGTAGTTCAGATCTGACTAAAACATGAACTGTAAGAAGTCAGGAGGATGTGCAGCAAAGAAAAATAACAGTACGGTTTTGATAATGGCACTAAAGTCATCATGTCTGAGGAACAACCATAAAAGAAGATGAACTCTTACAGCTTTTTGGAACAGCTCAATACACAATGCCATGTAATTCATCAGTCTTTAATGAAGAGCGGTTTTGAAGGCATTATTAATGCCACACTGTGGAAGCCTGACTGTTTACTTGAAAATACTGCTTTTGATACTGCTTTGGAGTCTCTGGCTGTGAAGTGGTTTAACTTCTAGGGTATTTTGGATGAGCTATCCCTGTGTCATCTCAAGAGTTTTTCTATTAAAAGAGCAGCCAGATTGGTACACACAGCTGGGAGGAAGGTGAAAACAAAGGGGTGTGTCCTTCAAACAAGTTATTTCAAATTCATCGTTAAATTTGATGCTATGAAATGCCACTGTTGAATGAGATGAGCAGGAGAGTGTCACTTCTAGGATGAGCTCTGTGTCTATCAGTATGCAAAACAGCCATATCGGGTTGTAAAACCATTGAAGTTAACGGGCCAGTGTGCACTGCAGTGAAAATCACATTTCTGAATGTTACAATACTGAATGTTTCTCCATTAAGTTATTCATGGAAAAAGGACCAGTACCGCGCAGTCTTGATCCACTAAAGTTGTTTAAGTATTTGGTTATCTTTTATGCTAGTGGTCAGATGTGTGCATTAAGTGACCTTCTAAATTGGAAAGGAGGCCTAGGATGTCATAGCCTAGTTTGTATTTCCAACTCGCACTTTGCTCCAAAGCTGTTGTCTTGGGAGGATGACAGGATTGTTATGACAATCCAATCTTCTCTATTCACAGGTGTTCCCTTTCCGAAGAACTTCCTTCAGATCTGCAAGAAGATACTCTGCCGACTTTTTAGGGTGTTTGTTCACGTCTACATCCATCACTTTGACCGTATCATCATTATGGGGGCTGAGGCTCACGTCAATACTTGCTACAAGCATTTTTATTATTTTGTGACAGAGTTCAATCTCATTGACCGCAAAGAACTAGAGCCTTTGGTAAGTGTGGGGTTGGGGGGAAAGCTCCAGGAAGTTTTTCTTCTCCTTTCACTGAGCCTTTCCCAACACTTGTTGCAGTGGGTTTCCTCTGGGGGTAACATCCACGGTTGAACACAGGCAGTTTAAAGGGATAAACGCTTGCATCTGTCCATAGACCCATTCTGTCTGCCGCAGTATTTGTGTGATGCTTGGTAGGCTCAGTAGGAAGAGAACAGTGCACTGTATTTTGTATGAAAAAATATAAGGTGGAAAATACTGCTATTTGAAAATAGAAGTTTATTTGTCTTCTGTTTCTTCCTGTATTACATATTTTATATATAATTTTATTCTGTCTTTTTTCACTGGTCAGTAACAGCATGATACTTACACCCTCGAATCACTCAAACGCATGTGAAGGGAAGAGTGGTCTGTGTAAAGGTGAATTTGTTCATGGTTTTTTTTAATCTTTAAGTAGGTGTTTGTGAAGGTATTGAGTGTGTTACATCCAGAGCACACTCTGGATCTAAGTGAGACAGGGAAGTGAGACAGAGGTTCAGACAATTAGCAGCATAACAAAACCAGACATTTCCTTTTGGGGAGAAACAGATCAAAGTTAAATTCATTGTTTCCAAAAATAAGACTCCAGAAATGGAAATGCTTTCACTGTTGCTTTCAAATGCAAATAAAATAAAAGTGTAAGCAGGGAAGGAAAAGTAAGGTGCAATTCAGGATGCAATTTACCTGCAAATCCTCACTGGCAGCATTTAGCCAACTTTAAAAATGATCAGGGCAATGTTTCTCCAAGTGTCAGAGTTTGGAAATACGGTATAATATAGCTATTGATGAAGTGCTTGAAACAGTGGGATTTATTTTTTTTCTCCACAGAATCATAGAATGGCTGAGGTTGGGTGACAGCTGTGGATATCATGTAGTCCAAATCTTTGCTCAGTGCAGTGTCACTTAGAAAGGGCTGAGCAGGACCATGTCAAAATTTCAGTTGTTCCACATAAAGCCACATTGCAAGGAGGTGTGTTTCATAGTTGGTATGAAACGCTTCTGAAAGTGTGGCAAAGTGATTTTTGCCTGGGTTTCCACAGGAATTGGAGCTGTTGCAAGTGTGGTATGTGTATATGCTTACATGGATTGAAGACTGAAAAGTCAGACAAAATGGGTGGTCTTGTTTTCATCAGTTCACAAGGCCTGCTGAAAGACACTGCATATGGCATGTATCAATAACTTGCAATGTACCTATGGTTTCTTTCTACATAGAAGAGCTTAATGTTCCATCTGAATGTGTCCTAAGGGACAGAAGGATGGCCTGCAAAAGAGAACTTCCCTGCCAGACTAGTGATTTGGGATTAGCTGTAGCTGTTAAGTGCTGAGATGTGTCAGAAGCAAGATCCAAGTTAGGATATTTCAGAGGTAGTAAGAGAGGCAATTTTCAGGTATTACAAGTTCCTTGCTTACATTGGAATAGAGAGAGCACGCAAATGATTTAATGCTGCACTTATGGCTTCTAATATTCCTGCACTAAGTGGACAGGCAAAGGATTTGGGCCAGTGGTGCAGGAGGTGGCCCAAGCCCAGCAGCAGATCAAGCTCCTAATGTGTTGCAACTGGTGTGTGCATTCCAGCATTCCCTTCCTTCACATTATCTTTAGGACCATCATATGATGCAGTTATTAACTTTGCTGGGGTGCAGAGTTTCCCAGAAAAATGTTTCACCTGCACTGGGAAACACCATGTCAGCAAACTGTCAAAGCTCCACCTGCTTCCATCTTCCTGTCCTTGGCTTGTGTGGGTGTCAGCAGTGTGGAAATGCAGAAATAACACATCTGTATTTTTGTCTTCAGCTGGTCAGAGAGAAGGGAGGGAGTTTTAACATGAAAGCAGACATTACAAACACTCCTGAATTTTAATGCAGTCATTGAGTACAACCTTTGCCCTGCCAGGTTCACCACAGCAGGAAGTGAGTCCACATTATCTCCCTTAATTAGAAAATGGGCCAAGAGCTGATTAAATAAACTGCCACAGCTTTATTAAACAGGGAGGCAACTGATTTATCAACATAATTTCAATAAGGGGGAATGACTGGGGAAGTAGGCAGTAGATAAATAGTAATACTAGGCTGCAGGACTTCGCTATTTAGATTTTATCAGGCTTTTGCAACCCAGTGTAGCAGTTATAAAATAAAATGAAGCAAATGAGTCAAATGGGGTTCCCCCTCCCATTCAGGAGTTACATAAGTTACCCTTTCTGCAATCAAAGAGGGGGATATGGTTCAAAATGCTGCATGTCTTTTTCTCATCCTCTTCACTGTGTAATTTGACAGATCCCCAAGTTTTTGTAGACCTGTTTTATGTGGGGACAAAAAAGGAGGCTGGCACAGTCACTGGCCCCACAGGTGGTCCTGAGGAAGAAAATGTATGTCCAACTGGTTAATCTGAGGGAAAAGAAGTCTGAGTGCATATCTGTCCTTTCCTGAAGCTCACAGGCAGAAAAGGCAGCCCACACCATGAGAGTTCTCAAAGAGACCCTCAAGGCCTGCCTCCACGGTGAAGCTATCAGGGAATAAACTAAGATTTGAATTTTAGGATGTGGCATCTGCTTTGTGGTGGCTCCCTGCGTGACTGGCTTTATTTCCACTGGCACATTAATTCACTTCTGAGCCTCTTCCCATGGCCAAAACTGTCTAGCAGAGTGGTACCTATTACCTCCACCCACCCCCCCCCCCCGTTCACCCTGTGTAGGTGTCTGCTTGTATAGGATGCTTTAAACACTTCACCTGAACATGCCCTTTAGTGAGAATCTTAATGCAGCTGCCTCAGTATGGTAGCTTACTGTTCAGCTGGGGGTCCAGCTACAGCGAGTAATGCTTCTCTACTTCCTTTCTGTGATCCCCTTTCTCTAACAATGGATTTCATAGTCTGTAGGATTGAAGAAATATGTTGCCCTGTGTCATGAGCAACATCTTAGTTCAGGAAATTTTAGTCAATTTATTGCCAGTTAACAAAGCTTTTCATTACAGATCTGGATAGTGAGGAAAAAAATCCACAATAAAAACACTTGTTGAAGAAACATCTTTCTTTCTCAGGCTCTAATTCAGTAAAAAATTTCTCTTCCTCCCTTCCAAGTCTCAACTTACTTTGGTTTTGATACACATTGCACTCACATACTCCTGTCATGGAACCCGAGGATCAGTACAGCTATATCAGTATCACTTCTAGGAATGGCAGGGAAATTAAAAACTGAAAGCTTCTGAAAATTGATAATGTTAATGCCAGAGAGGCATTAACATTTTGTGGTTTGTTTGGGTCCTTTTCCCCCAGCAGAACTTGTCTGTCAGACAGAGGAACAGAGTCAAAGAATCCAGAGCTATAGCTCTCCTTCAGTCATGTAAGAGCCTTCTGATTCAGAGGCCTTAGAGATTTGTTACTCAATCTCAGTGCATTTTGTCAGATACCAGTTGGTGATGCAGCTAAGTCTGCTCCCAGCTTCTCAGCATTGGTCTGTGTGTATCAGAGTATTTTTTTATGATTTCTAAATCTCTGCATTTTAATTTGACTGATACGCCACTGTGCCTTGTGTTTGTCAGAGTTAAGTAAAAGAAACCCCAACCACCTAAAAATGTGGTGAGATTTCAGTGTTAAATTTAGAGATCTGATCATGATGTAATTCACTTAAAGGAACAAAGTTCCGAGGTTATTTTTATGGGGTTTTTTTAAACTTGTGGGAGGTGTTGACCCAGCTTTTTTTTCTCACTACTGAGCATTAGTATCATAACCCTAAATTGTATCTCTGAAGAGGAGAGAAAGGCGGGAAAAATACATGTATATATAAAATTTGATCTTTTTTGCTATGCTACTTAGACCATAGGACTGGCTTTGAGGAACCTGGTCTCCTGGGTGCTGATGGAGTCCATCTGTCGGGGAAGGGGAAGAGTATCTTTGCTCAAGGGCTTGCCAAGCTGGTGAAAAAGGCTTTAAACTAAACTTGCTGGGTGAGGGGAATCTCAGTCTATCCCATAACGACCAGTTTGGTGGTAATGCCAGCAAGAGATGCCTAGAGCCTGGAGAGGGATTGCAGGTCAGCAGGAGAGCACCTGCAGAGCAGCACAAGGAAATACCAGCCTCTCCAGCCCGTAAGTCAGCTTCATCAGAGGCCCAGCTTACAAGCCTTTATGCAAATGCATGTAGCATGGTGAATATACAAGAGAAGTTAGAGATGTTGTGTGTGCCTGCAGTATGCCTGCAATAATGACTTACTGGCATTGCAGAGATATGGTGAGTAGGCTCTATGACTGAGTGTTGGAATGGGAGGATACAGGCTCTTTGGGGAGAACTGGCTGGGGAGACAAGGATAGGGTGTCACCTTCACCAGCAGTGACCAGCACAGGGCTCTGCCTGGGGATGAATAAGGAGCTGACCAAGAGCTTATGGGTCAGGATTAAAGGGAGGGCAGGGACAGGGGACATGACAGTGGGAGTCTACTACAGCCTGCCCAACCAGGAAAATCAAGAGAAGGAGGCCCTCTACAGACAGATAAGAAGAGCTTCATGTTCACAAGCCCTCATCCTCATGGAAGTCTTCAAACATCCCGGTATCTGTTGAAAGGACAGCACAGCAGGGGACAAGCAATCCAGTAGGCTCCTGGAATGCATTGGTGATAAATTTGTTGATGACAAATTTCTTCTTGAGTAACAGAGGAGCCAATGAGGAGTGGTGCAATGCAGGACCTTGCTTTCACCAACAAGGAGGGCCTTGTTGGTGAAAGCAAGAAACGCTTGTGGGGAATGTGAAGCTCAAGGGCACCCTCGGCTGTGGTGACCACAAAATGGTGTAATTTGAGATCCTTAAGGCAGCGAGGAGTTTATGCAGGAAGCTCACTACCCTGAACTTCAGGAGAGCAGACTGTGGCCTCTTGAGGGATCTCCTTGGTGGAGTGCCATGGGAAAAAGCCCTGGAGGGAAGAGAAGCCCAAGGAAACTGGTTAATATTCAAGGATCACATCCTCCAAGCTCAGGAGTGATACCTACTGACAGAGAGGAGGTCGGGCAGGAACACCAGGAGGCCTGCATGGATGAAGATAAGCTCCTGGATAAACACCAGCATAAAAAGGAGATGGAGGGCGGAAGCAAGGGCAGGTGTCCTGAGAGGAGTGTAAATTGTCAGAGCAGCCAAGGATCAGGTTAAGAAACCTAAAGCCTTGATGGAATTAAATCTGGCCAGGGACATCAAAGGCAACAAGAAAGACTTCTGTAGGTACATTGGTGACAAAAATAAGACAAGGGAAAATGGGGGCCCTCTCCAGAAGGAAACAGGAGACCTGATCACCTATGACATGGAGAAGTATGAGGTACTCAGTGACTTTTTTTCCTGGGTCTTCACTGCAGGAGCTGCAGCCACACTGCCCAAGTCACAGGAGCCAAAGGCAGGGACTAGGAGAATGAGGAACTGCCTACTGTAGGAGACGATCAGGTTTGCAGCCCAGAAAGCCAACCATATCCTGGGCTGCATCAAAAAGAGTGTGACCAGCAGGTCAAAGGTGTTCCTGCCCCTCTACGCTGCTCTCGTGAAACCCCACGTGCAATACTGCGTTCAGCTCTACGATCTCCAGCATAAGAAGTATGTGGACCTGTTGGAGCAAGTCCAGAGGAGGCCACAAACATGATCCAAGAGCTGGAGCCTGAAGACAGGCTGAGAGAGTTGAGGCTGTTCAGCCTGGAGAAGGCTCAGGGGAGACCTTAGAGCAGCCTTTCAGTACCTAACGGGGGCCAGGGGAAATCTGGAGAGGGACTTTTTACAAGGTCATGTAGGGGTAGGACAAGGGGAATGGCTTTAAGCTGTCAGAGGGTAAATTTAGATTTAGATACAAGGAAGGAATTCTTCATTATGAGAGTGGTGAGGAAGTAGATGATCTTTAATGTCCCTTACAAACCATTCTATGATTGTAGATATCTGTGCTAGTTCACAGAGGGCCTGAAAATTTATGCACACTTACATACTCAATGTGTACCCTGAAACTCATGATCTAATAAAAAATCTAGATGGCAAACCCAAGTGTATTTCAAGTCTCCATGACCACACGGTAACAGAAATCTGGGCAGGTCAAGTATTTATACTGTGCCAATGAGCAGTGGGAAGTTATGCAAAAGGAGGACCCTGCCAAACAGGAAGAAATTATTCACATGGTTTGAGTATATCTGCTTCTCTCAAAGCTAGTAGGATTCATCAAATGCACAAATGTTTGCCAGAGATACCAGTATATACCAGTTTTGAACAAGTTTTTTTGTTTTTTGTTTAATCAAGGTAGTGTCCTCTTACGGAGCAAAGATGAACTTTTGTGCTCTTACAGAAATACCAAAAATATATTGCAAACCAGTCAGATTCCCAACAGATCCCTACATAACTTTCTAACGTATAGTGAAATTTCCCTCAGAGGACAGGGTAAAAGACAGAAGAATGTGGCCATCTGCTTTACTCGTTTTCCACTACTTTTTTTTTTTTTTTTGTAAGTCACATCCTGTTAAAATGTTGATTTTCTCAGAAGTCATTTTTTATATTAACATTTTATTTATGAGAACAGAAAGTAATAATTACACTTGAATGAAGTAAAATAAAGGATATTACTTACAAGTGCTCTTCTGATAGCTGTTAAAATGCTGATTTCATTTAGATGCAGAGACAGTCAGCCACAGTAGCAAGTGGATAGCATTGGGGCTGGAAGTGGTGCAGTCAGTGGAGCTCAGTGTACAAAAATGGTGAAGCTGGTAATTGCCTCCATGAGGATGGAGTTCATCTGCAGGGTAAGCGAAGGCAGTAAGATTTTCTTGCCTTGTTCTCCGTAGTTCTCAGTGTAAAAGCTTCCTTTGGCTTTACAGCATGATTTGCTTCTGATAATATTTTCATCTAATATTTGGAGCTGTTTAAAAGCAACCATCTAAATGCAGGGGAAGTTCCTTGTCTCTGTAGAAAGCTGTCTTTCTGAATGAAATTTCTAGTGCTTGTCCAGGCAGCCTACTAAGTAAAGAGATGGATGTCTAATACATTAACCTAATCCTTAAACTTTGTTCAGTTGTTTGGGTTTCTTTTTTTTTATTATCTTCTTCCCCCCCACTCCCCCCCCACCCCCCAGAAAGTGTTATTGTATATTATTTGCTAAAACCTATTATGGTCTGGGTGACAGAAGATTTCAAAGATAAATGTGTTCAGGAAATTACACATCGGGGTTTGTGTAATGACCATAATTCTACCTTCCGATATTCTATGACTCAGAGAGTCATTGATGCCCTGATGACACTGACATGAATCTGAGGTACATTCTTCTCAGTCAGTGGAGTTATTCCAGATCTTCACATAAAATTCAAAGAAAAATTTATCCCTGCAGTCACAGGTGGTATGTTTATGTGCCATACAGGTAGTAAGTTCATGTGTTTTACACCAGCATTGGTGTTACACAGGATGCTGCTTTCTGTGCTGCTATAGGGAGCTCTGACCCCATGGCTGTATTAATTGACAGGATTGTAGGCAAGTTCAGCAGAACAACAAAAAAAAACAAACATACATGGGCAAAGGGAAAGTTTTCTTTGTACTTACAGCCAGAATGTCAGAAGTGCTGCCATATGCATGGCATTGATTGTGAAAACACAGTGCTTCCATTTCCAAGCTAGTATCTTACATAATCTATTAAAAAAAAAAAAACAAAAACAAAAACCACTTAAGGCATAGTTCCACAATCATTTTAAGCCATGATGAATGCGGTCTGAAACTGCAAGTGGCAGTCCTGCCCTTCACTGCTGCTAACTTGATAGTCCTCTCAACTTCCTTCATAACTAGCTTTTGTGTTATCGGATCCAAGGATGGATCAGCTGGACACCAGCTCAGCTGAAACTGGTGGTTATCACAGAATTGTAGAATCACAGAACAGTTTGGGTTGGAATTGAAATTTAAAGGTCATCTAGTCCAACCGCCCTACAATGAACATCTTGATCAGGTCCAACCTGACCTTGAATGTTTCCAGAGATGGGCGCCTACCACCTCTGTGGGCAACCTGTGCCAGTGTTTCACTCTACTAACTAATTTTTTTTTTTCTTATATCCAGCCTGTATCTCCCCTCTTTTAGTTTAAAACCATTACCTCTCTTCCTATCAACACAGCCCTGCTAAAAAGGCTGTCCTCATCTTATAAGCCCTCTTCAAGTACTGAAAGGCCACAATAAGTCACCCTTGGAGTGACTTAGAAGGATCTTAGAACAACCCCAGAACCTTGGCAGAAGTACACTGACTCTGCTCATAGGCTGTCCTTTAGACGCTGATGGTTGGCCACTCTGGGGACAAGACTATTGAGCCAGATGGACCTTCTCTCTGATGGAGTACTGTTGTTCTCAGGCTTTTGTGTGTCTGTTTTCCAAAGGGAAACAGCTCCAGCATTTCTGGAAATGAACGTGAGGAAATGGACAGGCTGGAGAGTTGGGCAGGGAGAAACTTGATGAAATTCAACAAAGGGCAAGTGTAGAGTCTTGCATCTGGGGAAGAACAACCCCATGTACCAGTACAGGTTGGGGGTTGACCTGCTGGAAAGTAGTGAAGGGGAAAGGGACCTGGGGGACCTGGTGGATAGGAGGATGACCAGCAATGTGCCTTTGTGGCCAAGAAGGCCAATGGCATCCTAGGGTGTATTAGAAAGGGTGTGGTTAGTAGGTCAAGAGAGGTTCTCCTTCCCCTCTATTCTGCCTTGGTGAGGCCACATCTGGAATATTGTGTCCAGTTCTGGGCCCCTCAGTTCAAGAAGGACAGGGGATCACTTGAAAGAGTCCAGCACAGAGCCACAAAGATGATTAAGGGAGTGGAACATCTCCCTTATGAGAAGAGGCTGAGGGAGCTGGGTCTCTTTAGCTTGGAGAAGAGAAGACTGAGGGGTGACCTCATCAATGTTTACAAATATGTAAAGGGTGAGTGTGAAGATGATGGAGCTAGGCTTTTTTCAGTGATACCCAGTGATAGGGCAAGGGGCAGTGGGTGTAAACTGGAGCATAGGAGGTTCCATGTGAACATCAGGAAAAACTTCTTTACTGTGAGAGTGACAGAGCACTGGAGCAGGTTGCCCAGGGGGGTTGTGGAGTCTCCTACGTTGGAGAAATTCAAGGCCCGCCTGGACAAGTTCCTGTGTGATGTACTCTAGGTTACCCTGCTCTTGCAGGGAGGTTGGACTAGATGATCTTTTGAGGTCCTTTCCAACCCTTGGGATTCTGTGATTCTGTGAAAACCAAATTCATAGGGAACTGGACAGGTATTGCTCACCTCATGAAGATTTGCATCCATTTGGTTGAGGAGCATGTCCTGCTTCAGGCTGAGGCTTCGAACCTTGCTAGTGGCAGAGATGTGGAAATCCTCAGAGGTACTGCAAGCATCCCCAGGGATTTTTTGCCTTCCTCTGCAGCACTGAGCACAGCTTCAACAGGGCTTCTTCGGGCTGTTGTGGCCCGAAGGCAACTGCTTCTGCTCCATACGGTGGCCCTCATGTCCCGCATCTGGGGGGAGGAAGCTTTCTGACCTGGCAGGGGAGGCCTCAGGAGTTGCTGCTTGTCCTCTGTAGCATGGAGCACATCCCCTTGTCAGGGCTCCCCTTTGGACTAGGTTCTTGCCTGCTGCTCTCGCACCTTCATGGCACTCTTGTGCCCTGGCTCTCTTAGGCTTCATTTCCCAGTGCAAGCTCGGAGTGGGAGCGAGATCCACTCTTCCCTTACCTCCATCTCCCCAGGGGTTTTTACTTGTGCACAGCAGCATGTGCTTGGAAGGGCTCCAGCCTTGCTGACACGTCAGCAGCTGCCACTCTCCAGCTCTCCCTGCATGCAACACCATCGCCAGGCAGGCAAGAGAGCAGTTTTCATGCATCCCTGGCCAGGAAGCGCAGTGGATGAACAAGAGTTGGAAGTCAGTAATGTGCTTATCATCAATAGGTGTCATACCCCACCCTACCACACACCTTCTTCTTCTTGCACAATTGTATGTGGTCGGTGATGATGCTTATAAATAATAACATACAACTTTCAAGTTGGATGTGAGGAGGAAGTTCTTTACTGTCAGGATGCTGAGCACTGGAACAGGTTGCCCAAGGAAGCTGTGTGTGCTCTAAGCCATGGGGAGGTGTAACACCAGGTTGTACAGAACCTAGGGTGCCATCTCCTGGTGAGGTATAAGACCAGGGTGTACAGCACCTTGGGCAAGATGCTTCTCGCATGAGGTCCCTGACAATGGCACGGGGATTGGAACTAGGTGCTCATGAGGTTCTCTCCAACCCTAACTATTCTATGATTCTAGGATCTAATGATTCTAAAATAACATAAAATATAAGAAATCAAACCAAAATCTAATGGAAAATAAAATCTTGTTTCCACTTGAAAGCTTTGTGATTCGTGTCCTTGAAAGTGTTTTTGGAGCTGAAAACCTCTGACATTGCAAAGAAATCAGTCTGTCTCACTGTCATTCAGCTCAGGGTGAGCATGGGGAATGGAATGGGGCGGAACGAAACTGAGAGGCATGAAACACGTAACGGAATGAAATGGCACGGAAGAGAATGAAATGGACTCCACTAGACTAGACTAGAGTTGGAATAGAGTAGGATGTGTTATGCCTACAAGTCTGCATGACAAGTTATGATCTAGGTCTAAGGCATCCACCCAGGAGAGCTACTTCTTGCACTGCAGGTCCCAGACCCATCCAGGAGACAGAAAGGCACAGCTACAGCATGGCTCAGGCAGGGACTGAAGGCCACAGGCTGAGCTGAGACACGTCCCCTCAGCCCTTGGCAGGAGGCAGTGAGGTAGGGCTCCTAGATGTGATGTGTTCAGCCACTGGGCTCTTAGAACACCCCCAGAACCCTGGCAGAAGCAGATTGAATCTGCTCATAGGCTCTCCTTTAGGCACTGATGGTTGGCCACTCTGGGGACAAGAGTATTGAGCCAGATGGACCTTCTCTCTGATGGAGTAGTGTTCTTAAGCTTTCATGTTTCAGTCTTTTTTTCTAAGGGAAACAGCTCCGGCATTTCTAGAAATGAGCATGAGGAAATAAATTCATAGGGAACTGAACAGGTATTGTTGACGCTGCTGAGAACAGGAGGACAGAATGACTTTCCTACTGACAATTTTCTGTGTGTCTTCATTTATCAGAGTTTTTGGAGTTGTTCTGTAAAGTGCTCTGGATTAACTGCTCTGCTGTCTTGTGCTTTGACACAATTACCTGTCTTTTGTGGGTGCATAAGTACAAGTGTTTGTTGCTGGTGAGCAGTATACAATAGAAGTCTTGTTTTAAAGTTTAGCCAGTGAATTAAAATTATAGCCTGTTGATTAAAAGGGGCTCTCCAAATTAATCCGCATTTCACAGTTTGCAATAAACAATACTACATTTGAACTTCAAAGAGATTATTGAAACAAGATAAAAAAAGCCGGAATAAAGGAAACTTTAGACTAAGTTGTTGGTTTGTGCTAGTTCAGTATCTGTGGGGAGTAGCTGGCTTGGTTACAGCAACAAGGAGAAAAAAACAGAGTAGAAAAGAGCAATTGTGATTGCAAAACCACTAAAAATTACAGGGGCATTCCAGGTCAGGTGTGATATAAAAAAGAGATTTGAAACTATTTGCTTTATAATGGGTATGTGTTTCTGCTGCTTTACTCACATGGGAGCTTTCTGCACATGGGCTTGCCCGTGTTTAAATTCCCAGATGAGTCAGAGACAAAATTGCTTCTTAGTAACCACGTGATGCCTTACTCTGCCTGTTCTAGTAACTGGTAGATGATGTGGATCAGAG